TCACCCCATGGCACCCCCTGCGCGCCCCGGAGCGCCGAGCAGCGCTGGCTGGAGCCGCTGTTTACCCAGGGCGAGCGGGCAGATGGCTTGCTGACAGCTTCAGGAACACCTTGTAGCAGTTGCGGTGATTCCCGAGATCCGTTGCTTCCCATTTCAATTCACACATCATGATTTCTAAACCTCAGCTCGTACCTTCCCAGCAGAGCTCCCCACCTCCGTTCCTGGCTGCCCGCAGTCGCTGCCGGCCCGGGAAGGACGGGAAGGGGATCCTGTGAGCCACCCTGCCACTGCCTCCTTCATTAACCTGCCAAAGAAAGGGGAACGAGCAGCACAAAGGCTGGAAATGGCTTTGAGGGTGCAAGTACTTCTTAGAGATGGAGAATTAATTTCCCAGCTGAATGATGGTTGTAAATGCATGGACAGAAAACAGGGAAATGGAGTCTGAGGTTGGCATGTGAGAGTCTCTTTTGGTGTGGGGCATCTCCACTTGGGATGGGTCCCTGCCATCCCTGCTGGGACCAGCGTTGTCCCCAGAGGGCTGTGGCAGCCTGCTCAGCCCCTGGTGCCCTTTGGGAGCAGCTCAAAGAGGCAAAACTGAAGCTGGGATGGAGCCTGGCCATGGTGGCTCCTGTAAACAGCCCAAGTTTGGTCAGCAGGAGGCTCAGCCCCAGCTGCCCCACCTGGGATGGCTGCTGGCCCACCTTCCCTCCAGGAATTGCTCTCTGGGCCTGGTGGGACCCCAGAGCTGGTTCTGGGACCTTTGTGCTCCCACAGCAAGTGTGAAGCAGAGCATCTCACACTTGTGAGCATTCCCTGCCCTCCTTGTGCTGCTGTGGCAGAGCCTTGGCCTCAGGGTGACAAACAGAGTATGTTTTTCCAATTAAAGGAGCCAAATGTGTTTTCCTGCCAGTATTGAGACATGCAATGTCTACATTTTAACCTTGAAGAAGCCTCTGGAGACACTGCAAAATAAATCAATACTAGTCCACGTGCTGGAAAACAGAACCAATAAATAACTTCAGAGCAGCTTTTCTGTTTACCCTGTGAAATTCCCACTCTTGGCCGTGTGCTTCAAAACAGAGTCTCAAAATAAAATAGAAAAGAAAAACAACCCCCTGAACCCTTCATTAGTGGCTCAGCATGAAGCTCTCCAGCCAGGCAGAGCTGGTTTCAGATTGCAGGTGCAGGGCCAATTCTCCACTGACCTCTGGGCTGGGATTTGGGATTGAGGTTGCCTGTGCAATGCTTTAAAAATATTAAATAAAAACATGAAAAAAAAATATACACGCCCTGTATGGTTTCTTATGGCATGGAAGGTGCTGGAGGAAAGTGAGCACCTGGGTTCTTGGATAGGATATCCCCAGCCTGGTTCCTGAGCCTGATCCAAGCTCCAGGTGCTGCAGCCAGGATTCCCTGAGCCCATCCCAGCCACGGGGATCTGCACCCCATGGATTTTACCTGGTGTCATTGCTGTGTCCCCAGATGATGAGGAATAACTGTGTCCCTCACCCTTCTCCCTCTGCTCTTCCCGGGTTGGTTTGGGGCCAGTCAGGGATTCACCAGCTCTTCCTCCTTTCTGACAACAATAAACGTGTCTTTAGCATAAAACAAGATTTACAGGAGCTATTAAAAGGCAACTCAAAGGCATTTTTCTGCATCCTGCTGAGGAAAGGTCTCATGTGGGAGGCAGGTGGGGCTGCAGGGACACACACAGGGCAGCTGGGGACCCACCTGAGCATGCAGGCACTGCTGGTGCCACCGACAGCCCGTGCTGGTGCCACCAGCGGTGCCATGGACACACACACACAGTGGGGACAGGACACACAGCAGGGACAGGACACACAGCAGTGCCATGGACACACAGCAGTGGGACAGGACACACAGGGACACCTCCTGCACATGGCAAACCCCACACAGTGACCCCACGCTGCCCAGATTTATCCCCAAAGCCAAGGCCAGCAGGACACCAGGAGCACAGATCAGGAGGACACATTCCCACCAAGGGGAAAAGTGAAAAAACCTTCAGCTCTTGCACCCAGGAAGGTCCCTGTGCCTGCAGGGCCACAGCAGAGGATCTGTGCATGGGGTGGGTGGGTATGAGCCTTGCTTTGGGCAGGCTCTGTGCCATGCAGCAGCTCCAGGAATTCTGTGGGAAATGGGACAGAGGCAGGGTTGGGTTTTTATAGCTGGGAAAAGGGACCCACAAACCTGCGGCTCACACCAGGTGAACTCTAAATGCACCCCAGGTTGCAGCTCACAGAATCACATCCCTGTCCTGCTTTGATGTCCCTGCTGCACCCCAGGTCCTGTGGCACCACTGCCACCCTCTGCCCTGCACAATGAGGGGAGAGGGGACAATGATGACCTGGCAGGGCGTGTGTCACACTCATCACTGCCCAATTTATACCTGTGGGTATAAACTGGGCAGATTTAGCAACTGTAGGGCCTTCTGTTCTTCCTTACATCTCTGGGCCATTTCCCCACCCCTTAAATGCTTCACATTATTTATTACATTTCATTTAACCCCAGCCACGTCCTCCAAATAAAATTTATTTTGCAGCTGTCATTCAGGTTTACTCCAGCCTTAACCTCGTAATCCTATTGATTCCCTCATTATTCTGGGAGTGGGGATTGATTTCATGCCTTCTGTGCCGTGGAGAAGCCTTTGCTCATTAATCTCACCCACATTTACAAACAGCCCATCCTGCTCATTCATTATTTCCTCATTCCCTGACTCACGAGGTGCTCAGCTTGCCTGCTTTGCCTCCTGGTTTTGGGGTGTGGATGGAGAGGGAATATAATCCTTGTCCTAAAGGGCATCCTCACAGCCTGGATGTCCATGACCAGAGGAATTCCCATGCAGGAAATTTCCAGAAAATCCCCCAGAGCTGTGCTCTGCATCACCTTTGGGACATGCCCCAGCTCTGCATCGTGCTCAGGAAACCACTGAAACCAACTGGGCTGGGAAAAACAGGGAACCAGAACAAATCCAGCTCAGGAAGGTCTCCAGATGAACACCCTGCACCCACAGCCAGGCCCTGCAGCTCAGGGCTGTTGGACAGGTACCAGCAGTACCTGTTGCTGGGCTTTGCTGATGCACACACATGTGCACCCCTCCAAACACACCACAAGTGTGTTTATAGGGTGTGATTAATCACCCAGAGCATTTCATAGAGCCCCATCCCTGTGCACAGCACTGTACAGTGTATGGAGGAAGACATGACCCCCTGTCAGGGAGGCTTAGAATAAAAAATAGGCAGACACTGTAGTTCAGACACGTAATAAATCCCCCAGAAGGGCCAATCTCAAATATTTCAGCTCTTTCTCCCTCCCCTCCCATAATATATAATTGTCTTTGTTGGATCAATACAGAGGGGCTTTGTGGAAGGAGCAGGTTTTAAGGGAAGATTAATGTAGTGAATTATACATGCAGCTAGGAAGAATTCTAATATTCAGCTTCCAGGAGGAGAGGGAAGGGTCTGTGGGATCAAATCCTCCCTGCAGGGTGGGCACACAGAGCCTGGGGGTGCCTTTGGGATGGATGGGTGGGTGGATGGATGGATGGATGGATGGATGGATGGATGGATGGATGGATGGATGGGTTCAGTGAGTGTGATTTCAGCATGGCATAAACCAGAGTGCCTGGGCTGCATCCCTCAGCCCCACCTGGCTTTGGGGCAGGTTTTGTCCCACCATGAGGCTGTGCACCACCTCACCCTCCAGACATAGCCAGCAGAGAGCAGACAGGGCCCTGAAATATTTGTCACTGGGGTATTTGCCACTAAACACCCATTATTTATCCACAGCAAAGCCCCGTGGGTTTTCATTTTCATAATTTCATTTTATCATTTCTGTGGGTGCACAGACACCCCCCAGCCTCTGCTCAGAGCATCCTACAAATAAATGCCCTTAATCCCATTAATTACAGTGCCACAGGGTGAGCAGCACAGGGCTGGCTGAGCCTCCCCAGCAAGGTGTGCATCCTGGGGAGCACAGGCCTATCATATGGAATAAATTTAACTGAATCAAGTTTTGATTAAATGCCATAAACATGATTGATTTGGTTACATACCCTCTGCATGACGGTCTGTTTAATTTATTTTTTCATTCTGAGAAGGGATGTTGCATTGATCCCAAACATTAGCTTTGACTGCCACCATAAATTCCCATTTTAGGGCAACCTGCAGCAGCCTTATTAATATTTTTACACTTAGCCAGCAGTTGGCAGGGTTAACCCTTCCTCAACGTGCCCAAATTGTGCAGTGCAGGGGAAAGTCACCTGCTTTAATGCCACCACTCCAAAGCCACCAAACCCTCCTGAAACTGCTCCCTGGAGCCCTCAGGACCAGGGGATCAGCACAAACCCTGAGGCAGCAGCTCCACAAGGCCTTGGGCAATTAAATTTTGCCCATAGCATGTCCAAAATGGGCTGTTTGCTCTCAAAATCCCACAAAACCCAGCACACCTCTCACCCTGCCAGCCTCTGAACCAACACTGCCACAGAATTCCTCACAACAGCTTCTATATCTTTCTTTTTATCAAGGGTAAGGGGAGAAAAATCCTGCCCAAATATATATATTTTTTAATATTACTAATAAATTGGAAGAATGCTTTATGTTTTCAATATATTTTCAATTTGCTGCCATGGTCAGTATCTTGGTTGCTATGTGTGTTTTATAAGCAACATCAATGATAACCAGATTTAGCTGTTGGTTTCTCCATAAATACTGTGTTATCCACCAAAAGCCATCTCTGGGAACACAGTGTTGTTAAAAATAATGCTGAAAAATCAGCAGAGAAACACCAAAAGCAAAAAAGAATAAATCACTTCCAAGCACATCTTGGAGAGACTGGAATTTTTGAGGGTTTATATGGAAGATAAGCTGATTTTAAACACATATTTTGGACAGATCCTGCAAACCCAGTGTCCATAAAACCCTCAAGTAACACATGAGCTCATTGCAGGCCAAAGCAGGAAGGGTTTCTGTGCATTTGCACTCAGGACAGTGACAAAGGACACTTGGAGCCTGCCCAGGTCTCATCCCTGGTAGGTGGGACTCTGCACAGAATTTACTCAATCTCATTCCTGCCTCCTGTGGGGTTTTGTATCATTCCTTTCACAAAATCCCAGGAAGTTTTGTGTTGGAAGGGACCTCAAGGATCATCTCATTCCACCTCCCACCATCCCAGGCTGCCCCAAGCCTCCTTCAAGGCTCTGAAATGAGCAGGACAAGAATGTGAAGGCATCTCTAAATACTGAATTATTCAGCAGAAACATTTCTGCTGTCCTCCCTCCAACTCAATTTATCTGTATTTAATTTAATTGCTAAGCACATTCCATCTATTTTCATACAACCTCTGGGAGCTGGGCTGGTGATTCTTAATGAGAAATCAGCAAGGATTTCACTTAGGATTGAGATTTTACCTGCAGGGGTCCAGCCCAAGGATTTGAGCCAATTTGACCTGAATTCAAGGAGCAAAGCTGGAAAAGTGATGCTGTGTCCAGGCTTTGTGCAGGAACAGGAGCAGTGCACTGCCACCTTCCTTTTTCCTGGAGGAGAACAGCACAAATTCACCCAAATTCACCCAAACTCACCCAAACCCCCCCATCCCAACAGGCCAATTTTAGCCTTGCTGCAGGCAGATCTCTCACTCACCTCAGCTCTCTTTTATGAGCTGGACAGTTTGTTCTCACTGAGGTCAGGTCCATCTTTCCAGGGTGCTCAAGGGAAAAAAATCCAAATCCCTCAGCAAACGAGGCAGCACAGCCTGAACCACCACAGCTCCTCAAATCCCAATGGCCCTCAGCCAGCACCTGCTGGGGGGGTGTGTTTCATTAATGAATTAATGGATTTAATTAATGAATTAATGAATTTAATTAATGAATTTAATTAATGAATTAATGAATTTAATTAATGAATTAACAAATGCTGTGCAGTAAATTCACAAATTATTAATAACAAGCTTCCCAGGACCCTGCAAATATCACACAGGAGGTAAATCCTCACATCACCAGCTACACAGGGGGAGTGTGGATGGGTGCTGGCACCCTCTGAATCCAGGGAACCTCATGCGACAGCCCTGGAAACACAAAAACCACCACAAAGCCATGGCAGCATCAGGGGTTTGTCTCCCTTCACCCTTGGCAGAAGCCAGAAAAACCTCAGCTCGGTATTTTCCCATGGTATCCTGGCTTTCTTGCTTTGAAAAAAAAAAAAAAAGTAATTATTTAATGGATTTAAAGGTTTCATAGCCTCTTTTCATCTAATATTTAACGTGCAAGAGTTTCTGCATACCCCAGGTTAGGTAAACATTAGAGAAGATTGTTTATAGAAATTATATACAGAGCGGCGCTGGTTTAATTTATCAAAAAAGGTTTTGTTGAAATAAATTCATTTTACAGTGAAACCCACTTAAACCTGTGAAAGGAGTGACCTGGTTGCAGTGAACCTGTTTGTGCCTCACCTCAGGGCACAGATTGAGCTGCACCACGATAGCATCTCCCATGTAAATATTCCCTGCTCTCCCAGAGAGTGGGACAGGGCAGAAACTGTGCAAAGGAGAGGGGTGCCAGGCCCACAGGGATGGAAGGATGGAAATTGGAGCTCACAGGGAAATTTGGGCACCACTGCTGTGGTTTAATGCTGAATCCACCCCTCTTGTGGGAGAGATGGGAGCAGGGGGTGGCAGAGGGG